TCCTGCCGAGACTGGATCAGATTCAGTACAATTTATAAACAAATCTTTCATGCAGGTATATATGAACTGGATCAACAAATTTATTATTAGATTTATTAAAGCAAAACGAAGTTTAGGTATGAGGAACAAGAGATATAGGAATTACAGAAATACTTCTTTAACTATGACATGCAACTCCTCCTGCACCTTGTGCTACAGACATGTATGTACATGTACATTTTTATTTTTTTTTAAAAAGGAACCCAACTCATATCTACAGACCAGAATGTCCTAGAGAATAATCTATTAATAGATTATTTGTTTAAAACAGCTATTATAACAATAGTTTGAATCATTTGAAAGTCAACAACGAGATAAAGGCTATGTGTTGGGAATGTGTGCTTCCAGGGTAAAAACAGTCACAAGACATAAAATATGACCGATCCTGTCTCACAAAAAAGCTGCACCTTCAACAACAAGCACTTTTCATCCTAAATTTCAAACCAAAGAATAAAAATAAAATAGGATCTACTCATAAGTGTCTTATTGAACAGATGTTGACCTCTGAATTGTAAGTCTAGTCATTCTCCGTCACTAGCAACAAGATCCATCCTTGAAAACCCTTGAAGGATACAGAATTAGAAAATAGCTAGATGACACTAGTAGGTCTTGTCCTTTAGCCTATTGATTTAACAAATCATTCAGTGTCACATTGTCGGAACTGTTTATGTTGCAAACCTTATTTGTAACGCTGAGGTACTTCAGAAGCTAAGACTACCACATTCAGGATCAGAGACAGAGAATATACACTAGAAATATTCACATGCATATGTATACTAATATAATAAAATATATGATGCGTGAGACAATGCTCAAACACACACACACACACACACACACACACACACACACACACTGATGGTACGTTGACTCTAGAATCTTTATTGATTGCAAAAGGGTCTGACATGCTAGAGGTATTACAGGTCACGGTATTTGCAAAAGTTGGAACAAAAAGATACGAAGAGCATCACATGGACTGAAGCCACTGGCCCCGCTTTAGGCCTGTAATGAGGCTCTCACATTCACTACAACAGAGGAATCATATGATGTCCGGGTATCTCCACAGCTCAGGACAGCATGGAGCACACCAGATTAGGACAATATATTATTAAACTAATCAGTGATCTCACAAGTACACTTGTGACCTGTCGAATAAAAGATGTTCAGATTTTACTTGGAATTCTGTGAAAGCTTTGCTTTTGTTTTTCTCAATTAGAGCCTTGTGAGTAACCTGCACCGACTGTCTCTTATTCTCTGAATCTCATGAATGTGGTCATTTAAAAAAATCTGTCATCATTCCAACTCTCTTTGTCTTACATACTCTGCAGAACACCAGAGAAGATATTTTAAAAAATGTCTAAAAAAAAAGTTTATGTATGCATGTATGTACAGTCAATGGTAACCAACACAGTTTGGTCACCGGCATTCTTCAAAATATCTGTTATTAAGTTCCGCAGAAGACAGAAAGTCATACAGGTTTGAAACAACAAGAGGGACCCATGGAAATGAGAGTTTTAAGATGTTTTACTAGTGTTTCAGATTTAATCATATGTATAACAATTTAGTATCTTTTGCAATGAATCAACATATTCATATTATGAAAAAGTACATTAAAGGGGTCATATGATGCTATTTTAAAGATAATTAGTTTTAGGTAGGCGTGGTTGACTCTTAACTTTTATAAAGAATATCTCTTTGGATTTGAGACTTTAGTCTTTGCAACTTTACAGATCTTCTTTATGCACCAAACACTCCAAACACTCCAAAGAGAAAGGAAAACTTGAAATCGCATCATATGACCCCTTTAAATCATTCTTAATTTTGTTAATTTAGTGAATAACAGTGAAAAACCTTTTACAATTTTCCACACCAAACTTCAAAACATGATGTACTGCAAATGGTTTTTGTCATTCTTTGGAAAACAGGGAGAATTATTAGAATTTAAAAGTTGTTGTGCCAAAATGTCAACACAGAACAGGCCTCTAGTCAATTATTTACTAAACCTTGATTGTTATTATTTTATTTTTAATTATTATAATTGAAAAAAATGGCTCAGCATAATCCTGCCCAACATTCTCAGATACTGCATTATAACTACTACTAGAACTGCACTTGACTGTTTAAAGGACTGTAGCTGCTCACAGACTCATATAGACCTTATGTAGCTCTGCCCCTTTTGCCTTTAAGTTTTCCACAGCGTGATGGTAAGATCTTATGGATTTATGAATGAACCGCTAATTTTAAAATCTTCCAGGTCTACTGACATTTATGACATCCGGTCCAAACATTGCAATGCTCATAATAACTTTTGTTAACTCTACAATAAGTAAATACACTTTACTTCATCTAATTACTCTTCAACAGTGATGCCATAGAAATATACAAATTTCAAACACAAAATTCTATAGATGGCTCTGGTGCATAAGGTCTATAACAACCAAAGAGAATTAAGCTCGAAACCTCATTATTCCTTAGTATGATGTGGTAAATGAGCACTGTGCATACACAGTCAAGTACATGGCAGAAGACAGCAGAGGTTTTCAGCTCTCACAGGGAGGGCCTGAAGTTCATTGTTATTGTGGAAGCTGTTCAGAGAGTTTATTGTGTACTAATGACCAGGCCCACACAGAATCTACACCCTCAAAACCTAATATGAAAAAGCTTTGTGTTAATAATAAGAGTGTACACTGGCAGTCCCATTGAGAGCATTTTTATATATTCAGGGTATGTTTACAGAACACCAAAAGTACCCAAAACATTTTAAGAACTGTTTTTAAAGCAGTGTTGTGTAAATGCCCCCTTAATTTATTCGACAAAATTCTAGAAAATTATATATATATATATATATATTAGGGCTGTCATCGTTGGAACTTGACTATAAAACTGATGTTTTTAGACAACGGATTTAAAAAAAAATTGGTAAATCATAAATTTGTTGTTAAAATTCAGGGTGTTTTCCTATCACTGGCTTGTACAGCATGATTTTTCTGTCGTCTCAAAGCTGCTTTGAAACAAAGTGTTATACAAATAAACTAAATAAAAAAAATATATATATTTAAAAAATGTCTATCATAAGACGATCAGCATTAACAGAATGAACAAATATGAAACATCATATGAAATGCAACATGTCTTGGTTGATTGATCTCACATTCTGAACCATAATCGATGGTCAGTGAGAAAAAACAAACAAACCTTTGAGCATTGAGGTGCACAAAGAATTTGAAAGCTTACATGCATGCTAATTCAAAGCACTGCTTGATATGCATCACAGACCAAGACAGAATCTGGCACACATGGTTTGTAGAGAGACTGATGTTGAAATGGTGCCTGAGAAAAATCCTGCTGCCCAGCCGAGGTTAGCCATCAGCCGGCAGCCTGTGAGAGAGCGCTGCTGCACTCATGCAGAAAACATTCCCAAAATGTGACACATTCACCCTCCTCCAGTCCCCCTCCCGACCGACTGCATGCCCCTGGAGGTTGGCTCTGATGTCAGTAGCTGAGCTGGGCCGGCCGCCAACCCTGTGGGCCCTTGATGGATGTGATGGGTCGAGTAGAGCGGGCCGCGGCATGAAGCATGCTGTGCACAGAGAAGCCAGTCCCGCTTAAACAGCCCTAATGACCCGTAAGGACCCAACAGGCCCCCTCTCCCATACTTCCTAACCCTTTAGCCTTCTGCAATCTTTTCTGCTCAGGTTACATACACACAGACACATGCACAGGAGAAGTGTGCACATCAAGTGTATTGATGTAGTTTGGTTGATGCAAAGACTAATGTTACACCAACCAATAATCTAAATCAAAACAGAACTTTATTGTGCCATATACTGTAGGTTCCTGTCCATATGGAAAAGATACAGTATATGGCTATTAGATTAAGATATTAAAATTGAATTTAATTAATACATGTTTTGCCTTATATGTGTATGAATATTTGTAGTAATGAGCAAGCATACAAAATGTATTACATTTCTGAAATGTACAACCAATATCTATCCAAATAGAAATATGCAGTATGTGTGTGTTACTATAAAAAGTAAAAGTTTAATATAATTTTAATTATATATTAATTTCAATTTCAATATAATGTTCTCAACCGCTAATATGTTCTCAATTCCTTCAGGATCAGTGTTATTTTAGTATCTCTGATATACCAGTATATTTTTTATTCATATTTTGAATTAGTTTTTATTTGTATGTTTTCTCAATTAATCTTTAAGTTGTACTATTTATAGTATAGTATATAATAGAATAGCATTTTTGTGTTCTGTAATGTTTATTAGCTTTTGTTTTTGAAATGTCTATGTAGTTCATATTTATTTTAATTTCAGTTGTAGTTTAGTTGTTTTAGTAACAGTAAAAGTTTACTTTATAAAAGTAAAAAGAAAAAAAGAATCTGTCCTTTAAATTGAATTTTGAAATGCACTGAAATGACCATAAATTGCTGAAGCCCAGCCTAGTAGATAGAGCACACACAGGGCCAGATATTATAATAGTACTAGCCATATTACCAAGGGACAGAATTTGTGCCAAAATACCATAGTCTGAGTGGATAAACAACCTTTGACATCAGCAAAAAAAAAAAAAAAAGATATGAGAAGTGCTTTTCTCTCTGAAAAGTGCTCTGAATAACCGATTTAAATCAAATTATTTTAAGTCAATTTATTTTGATATGTACAATTATATGGCTAGCTGTATTTTATGTCAACTAATTGTTGCATTTTTAGATAGTTTTTTAGGACCAAACCAGGGACCCATCAGCTGAGAATCACTGTTTTATACTTAGCATACAGTATGTTAACCAGCAAATAAGCATAGAAACATAACACATTCATAATATGTCCATAATTTGGCCATCCTCAAAATTTAAAGACAACATCACAGCAAGCAAACAAAGCACTATTTTTAGAGCATAGCGCTCTTATTGAACAATATTGGAGCACACGGCCATGAGTCCGTACCTGCAGGCTGGCTGCTGTTCTTCCGTTTCAGCCATCTGTCTACGGTCTCTGCACTCACGCTCTCCAGCACAAACTCATCCAGCATTTGCGGGTGGAGGGAGAGATAAGCCTTCACTTTCTCATCTGTCAGACCTGCAACAGAGTGATCAAGATTAGTTTCTTCCCCTCACATTCATTCACAAAAAAAGAACATCAGTCCAGTGTGAAAATATCAGGATCTTGTCACTGCATGTCCACTTAAAGCATTAAAACAGGTCAGCCCCTGTCGCGGTTCTACATGGTTACACGTGGTTGTCCATTGTTCCTATTTCTAAAGAGAACATACCCATACTGGCAAAATATATGTATGGGTTTGTTCCATCTGAGAGTAACCTAGGTTATTCAAAGCTGCCATTAAAAGAGGGGTGAAATAATAACTGCATTCGAAAAAAAAATGCCAGGCTTGATAACTGCATGCATTTTCCTTGTAAACAACAACAAACAGGGTATATATGGGTATCTTAAGTGAGATTCTAATTCACAGAGAGTGTATATAGTCTGCCAGAAGGACACTACAAATGGCAGAGGGAACAAGTTTGCAAAATATCACTTCACTGGAAACGGACATGAAAATGGACAGACGGGCTTGGCATTTTTATTCAGCTTCATTCATGATGGGACTCGGGAGTAGTTACTAGACTGTTGCACTTGACTATAAAAGACAGCTTACACATACAAATTACACAAATTAAATTATATTGGACTGTACTGTATACTGACAGCTGTTGGTGCAGCTGCATGAAGTTTTTATTTATTAGTCTTTTTTATGTTTTGTTCTGTTCATAAAGCACTCATATGAGAAGAAGATTTTAAGCTGTTGTTCACATTTAATTTAGCCAGTCAATTCAATTAAGAATTATTTTCTTATTTACAATGACGGCCTGGCAGCTAAATATACAGCAGGTAAACTTTTATGCTACTTTCATACTGTTTTTTTTTTTTTGCGGTTTACCTTACTATCTCCTTTAGTTAGTGCATAACAGACAAAAGATGATAATATGGGGAATGGCATGAAAGTCCACGATGACATCTGCATTTTTGAGTGAATCATGACATCAGTGAATCATGAGATTAAGTAAAATTGCCATGTCATTCTAATCATGAACAAAACCAATTTGAAGGAGGTTTAGAGGATTCAGGCTAGATTGGAAAATTAAAAGATTGAATGAATTGAATAAATCTAATACACGGTTTAGTCATGTTACATATGCTGGCAAAAAAAAAAAATGTACCTGCCTACATCACAATTTTTAATCACCACTTATATACTGGGGTGCTGCAAGGCTCTGTGCTGGGACCACCCTCATTATGCAGCTCAGTGTGTTTATAGTAATGGAGTCATCTCCAGCAAGCAAGAAGGCCCTTATAGAGACATAGGAAGAAGATGGACAAGCTGACTGTGCTTAATAGGCAATTAAGTGTTTGAGAGCTCACTAAGTGCTGTTGTTTATTGTCTTTGTTGTTGGGGCAAACATCCATTTACTAGGCCATTGCTGAAGCCAAGCATATTTTGATTAGCGAACAACAAAACAACCCATGCTTTTGTGGGTAGTTCTAGTAGAACCCCTTTTATTTTTTTAGGGTCTGCTTGTATCATGCTTAACCCTTGCAGCCCTTGCACCCCTTCAATAAGTAATATTTAAATGTGTTCAACTTTCTGCTAAATATAAATTGCAATTATTCATAAGCTACAAACAAAAAATGGCTAAAACCTCCAGGAAAAACGATATTTCATATATATTGTACTCTTAAATTTCTTCCAAGCCTTCATAGACCCACTTCTACAGTCTACATCAGAGATCAAAAATTAGTGGATGGCGTCTTGTAGAAAATGTATTTACACAGAAATTATGCTGGTTTTCCTGTTTAGTATTTACTATTTACTACAATTAAAAAGAATTACGGCTGCCAGCTTAAACATAATTCTGAGAAATTAAATGTGAAAAAAACAGTGCAAGGTATGAATTAGAGGTCGACCGATTGATCGGCCGGCCGATTAATCGGCCGATTTTTGGCATTTTTTAAATTAATCAGCATCGGCCGATTGTGCTGCAAATTAGGCCGATTTTATAGGCAGGCGCATCTGCGGGCACGGCTCGTCACAACAGACAGACCGCCACAAATAGATTTTCCAAAAGGCTTATACTTCCTTGAATAAACTGAGCACTGCATGTTTCAAAATTAAAATTTAGCGCGGGTGTTTTTATATGAATGTATCTTTGAAAAGAAAGAACCCGCAATAATCATTTACTCAAACTCACTTTTATGAGATGAAGGGGAAGAAGAAAAAAAAAGAAAATCGGCCAAAAAAATCGGCATCATATATTGGCCGCCCTGATTTCTAAATATCGGCATCGGCATCGGCATCGGCCAGTGAAAAACCCATATCGGTCGACCTCTAGTATGAATGACTTTGCATCAATGGAAATTTAGAGACTGGACCTCCAGAAACCTCCAGAAAACCCTGTTCTACACATGTATGTTTTTTTTTGTTTCTTTTGTAAAATGCCACGATGGACTCAACTAAAACCAATGACTTAATGTGCAAACTCGGGGAAAACACAGCTGGGAGGCATGTGAGGCAAAAACACACACACACACACACACACACACACACACACACACACACACAAACACAC